GTTCAACTGTCCCCCTCTTACAATGCTGTGATTGCTAGTATCACTCAGCCCTCTGTGAACAGTAAACAGCCATCAGTGTGCTAATGATCCATTGTTAGGCTGATGGTCCTTCTTGAGCATGTGATCAGCTGGTTTTGGTTGTCAGCAGCAAAACTGGTTGATCCACTCTGAGACGGTGCTATTTAAGAGACTGAGCTGAATACAGCTCCTCAGACTGAGGAAGTCTCTCGGATGAGAGATGAAACGTTTCTACATTTTTTGTTGATTTGCTTTGTTTTGTTTTTTTGAATGTCCAGAGGACCAGATTTAACTTTTTTAGATTTTTCTACCTGGATTATTGAGCATGCATCAGGATAAGCTGATGGGAAGTTGCTTGGTTTCTGCTCAGGTTGAACGTGAAGAGATGAAGGAGCGCATGTTGACTCGCATGGTGACTTATCCAGATAACTTCAGTGAGCATGCCAAGTCGCTGTGTGATGGGCTGCTGGCCAAAGACGTGGCGCAGAGGATGGGCTTTAAGAACGAATGCTGTGATGAAATCAGATTGCATCCATTTTTCAAGAATATTAACTGGAGGAAACTGAATGCAGGTACCATCTTCTTGTTGCATCACTGCTTTAATGCAGCACAATATGAGTCTATTTTCACCTCACATTTCTGCCTCCTTCAGGTATTCTACCTCCTCCTTTTGTCCCTGACCCCAAAGTGGTTTACGCTAAAAGTCTGGATGACGTTGGGGCTTTCTCCTCTGTGAGGGGCGTAGCCCTGGAGGATTCTGATAAAACCGTTTTTGATGAGTTTGCCACAGGTAACATCTCCATCCCTTGGCAAGAGGAGATGATTGAGATGGGCATTTATGGTGAGCTCAACCTTTGGGGCCCTGAAGGCACCATTCCAAACGATCTCCGCAGGGAGTCCATCCTAGAGCAACCCAAGTCTTCAACGTGCTGTATATCGTAATGAAATACACCAAAAACACGTGAACTGTTGGAGAGAAATATTCTCGCTTTATCTCACTTACTCAAAAGGAGCAACACTCGACGACAGGAGGAGGTTTTAACCAGGTTTTACTTGCAAGGACAGATTTTCAGGACAGGTTACACAGATGTGCAGGAAGTACACACATGAAGCCCAGTTACAATAATCTGCCACGAGCAGTGTGTGCAGCTTGTTTTTATACTCTATCAGTTCAGCTGAGCTCACAGACGCTGAGGCGTCCTTGGAGCACCAGCTGCAGCCTCACCCGGCTCTCTGCTCACCCAAACATATGGTTCATGGGCAGAGTTAACATTCTCAGCCATAGTAATTAAAAACATCCATAAACTTTGATCAAATATTCCCTAAAATGAACCTTAGACTTGTAATTCATTATAATATGCATTTTAAAAAATTCAAATCTTCAGGAAGGACAAGAGTCTCTGAACTTTCTGATTGCAGGATAGTAAAAAAGAAAAATGAACATGGATTTCATCCAAATCTTAGGAGTTTAAAAAAAAAAAGGTAATTCCTACCGTTATGTTCATTTTGTTCATTTCCATTTGCTTTTTTTTTTCAGTTTGCTCGCCCACTTTACATTTTATGTGCGGCTATATTAATGCAGTTTTTTTAATCTGTCCTTAAAAAAAAAAATCTCCGTAATAAACAGAGCTACCTTGATGTTGCATCATGGCGCAGTCAAAGACTTCCTGAACATTTATCTTGCTTACTGTATTCTTCTGTACTGCTGTATGCTGCTTTTAATGGGTAGTTTTTTTTTTCAACAAAACATAACGAGCTGCTATTACCCCCAAAAGATAAAAACAAAAAATCCAATGTCTCAACCATGAAGAGCAACATTTTAAAGGGATGGTTCATTTCACTGATGACTACTGACCCCTTTTTATCCTATATATGAGGTAAGGCAAATAAAAACAAAAGACAGGTTTGAAAGCATTTCATTTTCAGGAGGAAAAAAAAAAGGTGAATGTATCAAAACTATTTGGAAATGTCATGTCAAATAAACTAGCTTATGACAATTTGTGTCTGGAAGTTTTTATGCTAAACTGTTCAAGGTAAAATTTAGGAATGTTGTGCAAACACTCCTCACAACTAGAAGTAAATTCTCTTTAAATGTCAGTGATCTATTTTACAAGTTAGAAATGAAAAGTGTTATTTATATTGTTTGTTCATCAAGTTTTGACTATTTTATGTGAACTTACAAACACAAAAAACAGCAAATATACAATCATGGGGACAAAGAAAGTTCACCCCTTTCAGTTTTATGGTTTTACATATCAGGACTTAATAAATGTGAACAGGTGTTTACTAAGTTCTAAAATCAGTTCTATCAAGCCTCAAGTGTACCAACGCCATTTCATCATGGCAAGCTGCGAGGAAAAGACAGGTTTACACCATGATTGAACACCTTCAGCAGCAAGAATTTGGGAGTACCGTACAGTCCGTCGTAAACGTCACACCGCCGTATAAGACCCATCTGTCCAAATATGTAATAAAATGAAAAAAAAAAACAAATGTGTCGCTTCGCCGTATAAGTTGCATCTATTTTGCGTCACCGCTGACCACCTGGAAATGTGCGCCCATGATGTGCCACAAATTGATTGGCTGCCAAATGGCAGGTGCGGGAGCATGCATGGGAGGACTTTAACAAGAATTTAACAAGATTAACACTTAAAAACAATTATTTGTTTGCTCAAAATTATAGCAAAGGTGTGTCTCAGTTTAACTCTTCCTTAATAAATGTACTTTGACGGTCATATCGGCTGCATTTCAAAAGCCGAATCGTGGCTGCGGGAGCGTGCAGAGGGTGGACTCGCTTTGCATTTCTTCAAAATTTAACAAGATAAGCACCTAAAAACAATTATTTTTTTGCTCGACAATATAGTATAGGTGTGTCTCAGTTGAACTTTTCCTTAATAAATGCACTTTAATTGTCACATCAGCTGCATTTCTCCTGGGCGGCGTGGCGAAATGCAGCTGATTTGATGTTTGCTCCAGGAGTTCTGGAGAGAGATGAAGGTGGCTTTGTATGGCAAGTCAAGTGTCTCATTAATAGCCACTTTTAACTATTAATGAGACACTTGGCTTGCCATACCGCTCGAGTGCCCTCTAGTGGCTGAAAATGGTAGTGTTCAATATTTTCTATGTCGGAATGAATGAAATCGTCAGATCTCAGCCAAAAATCGGCTTATAAAGATGGGAAAAATAACAAATGCATTGCTTTGCATGTATAAATCGCAGGCTTGCTAATTTATGCAAAAAAAAAAAAAAAAGGTGACATATGGCGAAAATTATGGTAGTTGTTTTCTGTAGGACTCCCATTAATGTGGAGGAAGATTGACCCACTTTTCTTTGCATCACTTCAGTTCATGGATGTTTGTAGACATTTATTCTTTACAGCTCTCCCAAGGTCCTTCTGCAACAGTTCGATCGTTTTGAGGTCTGTGGATCGTTGCAACACCGTGATTATTTTCCTTTTTTAGCTGTTCTGTTGTAGATCTACTGCTGTGTTTGAGACCATTGTCCTGTTGCGTCATGACCCAATTTGTGGCGGGCTTCAGTTGTTGGACTCTACAGCCCTTTGGTCTACAGAAGAACGTGCACTCAATTCAATTACCGCAAGTTGCACAGGATCCACGACTACAGAATCAGCCTAAACCATCACCCCTCTACCGCTGTGCTTGACAGATACCATGAGGTTTTTGTGCTAATATGATGTGTTTGGCTCATCCAGACATAAAATATGCATTATGGGTAAACATCTCTACTTTGGTCTCATCAGTCCAAAGAAAAGAGTTCTAGAAATCTTGGGATTTATTCAGGTGCAACTTTGCAAACAAGACAGTTTTGCTCAACTGCCAACTGAAGGGTGGATGTTTCACACTGCCTCTCCATTTATGCTTTTGTTTTATAATGTCATGGTGGAGTCTGCTGTGTATTTTAATTTACTTCAGGTTGGATTAAAAACATTTAGAACCCAAGATGTTAATAAAAATTCTGTTTTGATACATAAAACCATAGAACCTCTAACAGATGGGCTTTATTCTTTTGTATAACTTCAAATAATACATTGACTCAAATAAACGTAAAGAAACCAAAGTTTCTGTTCAACTCAAAAGTTAATTACAAAACTTAATCAAAGGAATTTCACGCCTCTGGATTAATGTCATTCCTTCGCTGTGGCCTTGTATATCCTCACCTCCTGCTGCGGCAGCTCAGTGAGCAGCGTGGTGTTGAACTTGCTCTTAAAGTGCTCCACGAACCTCAGGTCGGACTGAAATCTGATTTTGTTGGCCAACAGTAAAGTTGTTCCACTTCCTGGTCTGCAAAAGTGAAGCATTGTTTTCAGCAGCTCTTCAAGGAAATCGTGATGGTAGACCACGTCTGCTGCGAGCACATAATCATAGTGGTAGGACGGGTAGGGGAAGCGACTTTCCAGGTCCTGACCCCAGGAGAGGGCAGATACCTGGGGCATATAGCGGGAGCGGCCCTTAGTGTTCCTCCGAAGGTTGAACGTCAGATTAGACAAAATCTCCGGCTGATCAGTAGCTGTCACCCAAGCACCTAAATGAAACAATAGAACAGAAAGATAAAAACAAAATGGCATCCTTTTTGCTAACTGATTAGTTGAGAAGTTGAAAATGGCAGTGAAATCCCTGAGCTGATCCAACACAAGCTTTTGTAATCTAATCTTCAATAATACACAACATAATTTTTGTATTAGTACTTTTTAAATATAAAAATATAATTACTGTTTTCAGCAACTGCATTACACTAAAGATGGATAGGAGTGTGTAGCTTGATTTATTTCTTAGCCTTTTCACAAAATGCTCTGCCTAAAAAATCAGTCCCTCTTCAAGCTGTTTTTAGCTGTTATATGCATCATTGGGGCGGCTGTGGCTGAGTGGTTAGAGCAGTCGTCCTCCATTGCAAGAGTTGGGGGTTCGAATCCACCAGCAGTCACCGAAGTGTCCCTGGGCAAGACACTGAACCCCTCATTGCCTCTGATGTGTGTCCCATCGGTGTTTGATAGTGCTGTTGTACTCGAGACCGGTTTTGGTCTTGAGACCCATCTCAAGACCACTTTTTGATGGTCTTGGTCTTGTCTCGGACTCGACCACATTTGGTCTTGGTCTTCAATCAAGCAATCAAATCAAACTTTATTTATAGAGCCTTTCCAGCAGCCAAAAAGTGCACAAAGTGCTACACTATACAGAAGCTAAAAACAAACAATTAAGAATTAAAAAACCGACAGTTGAAAATTAAAACCAAACAATTAAAACATAGCAAGATTGCCAAAGAACTACTAGGTATTAAAAGCCTGCCTGAATAAAAAAAAAAAAGGTTTTAAGTTTAGACTTAAAATGCTCTATATCAGCGATGAAACGCAAGTCCTGAGGTAGATGGTTCCAGAGTCTGGGTGCAACGACAAAAAAGGCTCGGTCACCCCATCGTTTGTAGTTGGACTATGGGACAGACAGTAGAAAGGTATTGGATGATCTCAGTGTTCTCTTATATTCACAAACAGCTATAAGATCAGTCAGATATAGTGGAGCAAGACCATTGAGAGCTTTAAAAGTGAATAATAAGATTTTGAATTTAATTCTAAAATCGATTGGAAGCCAGTGGAAAGAAAATAAAACAGGGGTAATGTGCTCACGTCTGGAGGTGTTGGTTAAGAGTCGAGCTTCAGCATTTTGGACCAATTGAAGGCTTCTAATGGAGGACTGGGACATTCATGCATATAGGGAATTGCAGTAATCAAGCCTTGAAGTGATGAAAGCATGAATGGCCTTTTCCAAATCAGAACAATTTAAAAAAGGCTTAACTTTGGACAAGAGATGTAACTGATAAAAACAGGCCTTGACTGCAGAGGATATTTGTTTATCAAACTTTAGATCCTTGTCAAACGTCACCCCCAAGTTTTTAACTGTGGGTCTGAACTTGGATGTCAAAGCACCAAAGTTACAGGGAGCATCATCACCTAAGAAGATGCACTCCGTCTTTCCTTCATTTAAAAACAAAAAATTACGGTGAAGCCACTGTTTAATGTCGGCAATACAGTCAATTAAAGGTGTGTGAAGGTTACTATTTTTAGGCTTCATTGGTAAATAAATTTGTAGATCATCAGCATAGCAGTGAAAAGAAAAGTGATGTCTGGCTATCACTGATCCAAGAGGCAGCATGTACAGAGAGAAGAGGAGAGGACCAAGAATAGAACCCTGTGGCACACCACGAGAGAAGTGCAGTAGAGGAAGACAGATTACCCAACATGACAGAGAACTTCTGTTGGTCAAGTAATCAGTGAACCACTTGAGAGCTGTATCAGATATTCCAACATAGTATTGAAGACGAGACAAAAGGACAGCGTGGTCCACTGTGTCAAACGCAGCTGTAAGGTCCAGCAACACCAGAACAACGAGACACTTGCATCCATGGACATGGAAATGTCATTATGGACTTTTAACAGAGCTGATTCAGTACAATGATGGGTGCTAAATCCAGACTGAAATGTTTCATAAATACCATGATTTCTAAAACTTTGGCTAAAAACGGCAGATGAGAAATAGTTCTAAAATTTGACAAAATTGATGGGTCAAGGTGAAGTTTTTTTAAGAAGGGGCCACAGCTTGTTTAAATGCACCACAGACAATTCCTAAACAAAGGCAGGAGTTTAAAAATGTTAAAATGCAAAAACCCACAGAATCATATTGATAACTGTTTTCTAAACTAAAACTTAAATTGGGTTTCTTTTTTAGAAACAAAAAGTGTTTCTCACATCATGTCAGAAGGCACCTGATTGCTTCAACTATTCTGCCCCTGGTGGATTGTGGAGATCTGCTATTTATGAACTCTTCAGCCCAGATTTTGAAAAAATTGGATGCCGTATATCATTGTGTCCTCCGTTTTATGACTGACTGTGGCAATCGAACACATCACTGCACTTTGTATGCTACAGCAAAATGTCCCTCTTTGACTGACCGCAGACTTTCTCACTTGTTGGTTTTTGTCTAAATGCATCCTTGGGCATCTTCCTACATATTTATGTTCACTTTTATCTAGAACTTTTAACCATTATAGTCTGCGCTCTCAGGACATCATTTTAATGCAGGTCTCAAAGGTCAGAATTAAACTGGGTAAAAAGGTTTTTAAATCTTTCGCCCCTGCCATTTGGAATATTCTGCAGAAGGATTTAAAGTTGGCCGGCTTGCGGTCACTGTTGGGCAGGTGGGGCGCATGGACGGCCCAACAGAGGCTCTGTCGGGCTGTCTCTGTGTGCCTGTTTGTCTCAGGTTGGGTTTTGGGTGCCCCCCCCCCCCCCCTCTTGGACCAGTTTTGGCCCCCCATTTGGTGGGTTGTGCTCCCCCCCGGTGGTGGGCCCCCCTGCTTCCGGTGCATTGGCGGCTCTCAGCAGCTGGGGCTGGGTGGTGGGGTGTGTGCGGGCCTGCCCTGGTGGCTGCCTGCGGGGGCCTGGGTGCCCTGGCTCTGTTGGGCCTCTGTTGGGGGGTGGTATGACCTCGGGACTCAGGGCTTGGTGTCCATGGCCGGATCCACTCTGGAGGGGCGGGTTGCCAGCGGGGCCTGTGGACTTGTCGCTGCAGCCTCCTGGGGTTTCTGCATTGTGGTTGCTGGGGATCGCCCAGGGCTTCCCTTTGCTTCTCTCTCTGGGGGGTGCGGGTGTCCCTGTTGGGGGACTCCCAGAGTTCCGGGCTTGGGGGCCGCTGTGTGTCTGCGGTTCCGGTCTTCCCTGTGTTACCTTCGTGTCCTGTGGGGACGGGTTTATGAGTCCCCACATCCACGATTGAACATTGTTATGGAGAAACCTTATAGTGACAAGCATGCTCACACAGGTGTTTAGATTCAGGTGTTTATCAGATACACACTCAGTTGGGTTGTGGTGGCCATCAAATATATATTGTATTACCATGTACTGTATAAAATACTTTCTAATGATATTATAAGTATCATTATATAAGTTGTTTGTTGTTGTGGTTTCTTGGTTTTGTCTGGGTTTTTTCTCTCTTTCTGCAGGTCTAGAGGCAGACTTCAATGATGTTGATTTGTGTTCTCTTTATCCCTCTCTCTCTCCTCTATTCCTATCTCCTTCTTTACATTTTAACTCTTCTCACTTTTCTGCTTTATCTTCTTTGTTTTCCGTCCCCATGTCCATTACATCTGAAACAAACCCAAAACATATTCTAATAAAATTTAATTTATATATCAAGTGGAGCATTAAGGCGAGCCATAATGTTCTGCTTATGAAAGTAAATCTGTTGGCGTCACTTTGACACTCAGACAATAATTCTGAGTGTCACAATGCTGGACAGGACAAGAGAAAAAAAAAAAAAAAGGATTTAAAGTTATCATCTCTTGTTACATTGGGACAATTTAAATCAATTCTAAAGGAACGAGAGATCAGATCACTTGGCTCCTGTAACTGCTCTAATGTGTAATTATTGTGATCTCTCCTGGATATGTATTTTGTGTATTTGGTTTAGTATTTTGGATTTGTTGTATGTTTTATGCTGCTCTCTTTTTTTTTTTCAATTAAATTAAGTTTTCATTCAATTAAACAAGTTTTTGAATGAGAACAGAATCTTTGAAATTTTTCAATCTGGTTTTAAGCAACTCCACAGCACTGAAACAGCATTAGTAAGGGTTTGTAACGATATTATGATATCAAACGATTCTGGTCAATTTGTGGTACTTGTGCTCCTGGGCCTTACTGCTGCTTTTGATACTGTTGACCACAGTATCCTTATATCATGGCTGGAACAGTGGGTTGGGATCACAGGTGCTGCATTAGAATGGTTCCGCTCATACCTGAGTGGCAGGAGTTTCTGTGTCAAGGTTGGTAATAATGTATCTGCCTCATTACCTCTTTCTTGTGGGGTCCCACAGGGTTCGATTCTTGGACCCATTCTGTTCTCACTTTATTTGCTCCCACTGGAGTCCATCCTGAGGAAACATGGTCTTTCATTCCATTGTTATGCTGATGACTGTCAGATTTACCTGCCTGTGAAAACAGCAAGTGCTTGCTCCATTCACCCTCTGTTAAAATGTCTGGACGACATTAAGGCCTGGATGGCTTCAGATTTCTTAAGCTTTAACAATGACAAGACTGAAGTCATTGTTTTTAGCCCTAGCTCAACTGCCACCACTGATCCTGTCAACCTGGACTCTCTTCAGCCATATCTGAAGCAGTCTGGTAAAAATCTTGGGATGGTTTTAGACACTGACTTAAAGTTTGACAAACAAATCAACCCTGTTCTGCAGAAAAGCTTCTTCCAACTCAGACAGGTAGCTAAGCTCAAGCCAGTGTTGTCCAGACCCGACCTTGAGAAACTAGTCCACACCTTTGTCACGACCCGATTGGACTATTGCAATGCACTGTATGCTGGGATCAGCCAGGCCTCCATCTCACGTCTTCAGATCGTCCAGAATGCTGCTGCTTGGCTTTTAACCGGAACTCGTAGGTCTGAACATATTACACCAGTTCTGTCCTCCCTTCACTGGCTCCCTGTTCGTACGAGGATAATCTTTAAAATTCTTCTGTTGACCTT